ACTTTTTATTCACATGTCAGAAATCTTTGGTTGAATCTCAAACTCTAGCTGCACCAACCTATTTATTGGTCAGTGATGACTGAAGCGATTTAAGAGGAAACTGATTCAGTCCGCACTAACCAATAGGGACACGTCTTACATCTTTTGTTCCTCCTTAGGCCCCGCCCCGGATGTTCATGTTTTCTGAGTTCAAAACTTTTTTGAGTTCAACCAAAAACTTAAAGCATCAACCAAAAGTTTGAGAATCAAACCAAAGATTTCTGACATGAGAAAAAAAAAGTTTCTGTTTTGCAAAAAACTTAATGATTGAATTTTTTTTATTTAAATTGCTTTTTTGTTTGGTTGAAAAAAAATTTTTTAGATTAATTTTTTTTATTAAAAACATTTTTTGGATTGAATTAGCTTTTTTTGGTCGATTGAATAATACAAAAACAAAATCGCCTTCATAATATACGAAGCAAGAGTAGATTGTGTTAGATTATTAATCTTTTTTAGCCTGGAAATCAAGAAGTTTCAGTGCAATTGTCTCTCTCCACCAGAAGTTAATTTCCCTTAATTTGAGAAGATTCAGACTAAAATCAATTTTTTTAAACTTAATTTTAGATTTAGAAGTTTGGCAGTGTAGTTGTAGAAGTTCATCCAGTGATTACAATTCTAATAAAAACCAGTCCGTTGGTTGAGGATATATTTTGCTAACAGAAAAGCAAACATAAACACACAGAGTTGTCATTTTGCCTTTGGTGGAGGGTGATAATTAAATTACCATACCTTCTTTTCTCTGAAGCATTTTACTGTAAAAACATTCAAAACCTAAAAACTCCTGAGCTTATTCATGAAGTTAGGTCTGATTCTGGTCTGATGGGTCGGGTTCAGTACCTTCCACTTCGGGCTTCTTCTCATCATCCACTCTGATCAGTTTTTTCTTGACTTTCCGAGTGGAGCTGACGAGTTTGTGGAGCCTTTTAAATGTGACAGATTCCTCTTCGTTGTCTGACAGGTCACAGGGCTGATAGATACAAAAAACAGTTTTACCAAAAATGCTTTATTGTATGAATGCTGAGTCAACATTAACATTATTGTTTTGTTGTTTATAGTTTTTAAACTACAATCACTTGGTGTTATTTTAACTATTCATGTGCCACATTATTACAGATACACAGTGCTATTGTACAGTGGGAATAGTTTGCTGACTTTTGTATTCCTCTCCATGGGCTGCCACTTTATCGTGGTGGAGAGGTTTGAGTGTCCCAATGACCCTAGGAGCTATGTTGTCGGGGGCTTCATGCCCCCAGTAGGATCACCCAAGGCAAACAGGTCCTAGGTGAGGAGTCAGACAAAGTGCAGCCCAAAGACCCCTATGATGAGTACCATAAATGGAGTCAGTGTTCCCTCGCCCGGACGCGGGTCACCGGGGCCCCACTCTGGAGCCAGGCCTGGAGGTGGGGCACGTTGGTGAGTGCCTGGTGGCCGGGCTTTCACCCACGGAGCCCGGCCGGGCACAGCCCGAAGAGGAGACGTGGGTCCCCCTTCCCATGGGCTCACCACCTGTGGGAGGGGCCGTAGGGGTCTGGTGCATTGTGTGTTGGGCAGTGGTCGAGGGCGAGGACCTTGGCAGTCTGATCCTCGGCTACAGAAGCTGGCTCTAGGGACGTGGAAGTCACCTCTCTGGTGGGGAAGGAGCCTGAGCTGGTGTGTGAGGTTGAGAGGTTCCGACTAGATATAGTTGGACTCACCTCGACGCACCGCTCTGGCTCTGGAAACAGTCTCCTCCAGAGGGGTTGGACCGAGCAGGAGTGGGCATACTTATTGCCCTCCATCTCGGTGCCTGTACGTTGGGGTTCACACAGGTGAACGAGACGGTTGCCTCCCGCCGCTTAAGTGTAGGGGGACGGGTCCTGACTGTTGTTTGTGCCTATGCACCTAACAGCAGCTCAGATTATCCACCCTTTTTGGAGTCCTTGGAGGGGGTGCTGGAGAGCGCTCATAACGGGAGCTCCTTTGTTCTGCTGGGGGACTTCAACGCTCACGTGGGTGATGACAGTGAGATCTGGAGAGGCGTGGTTGGGAGGAACGGCCCACCCAATCTAAACCTGAGCAGTGTTTTGTTATTGGACTTCTGTGCTCGTCATGGATTGTCCATAACGAACACCATATTCAAATATAAGGGTGTCCATATGTGCTCTTGGCACCAGGACACCCAAGGCCACAGTTCGATGATCGACTTTGTTGTTGTTTCATCTGATCTGTGGCCACATGTCTTGGACACTCGGGTGAAGAGAGGGGCAGAGGTGTCAACTGATCATTACCTGGTGGTGAGTTGGCTCTGTTGGTGGGGGAGGATGCCGGTCAGACCTGGCAGACCCAAACGTATAGTGAYGGTRTGCTGGGAACATCTGTCAGAGTCTCCTGTCAGACGGAGCTTCAACTCGCTTCTCCGGGGGAACTTTGAACACGTTCCAGGGGAGGTGGTGGACATTGAGTCTGAGTGGGCCATGTTCTGTACCTCCATTGTCGGAGCATCTTACCTGAGCTGTGGCCCTAAGTTTGTCGGTGCCTGTCAAGCGGCAACTCGAACCCCCTGGTGGACACCAGGGGTGAGGAATGCTGTCAGGCTGAAGAAGGAGTCCTATCAGGTCTTTTTGGCCTGTGGGACTCCGGAAACAGCTGATGGGTATTGGCAATCCAAGCAGATTGCGGCTCGGTTGGTCACTGAGGCAAAAACTCAGGCGTCCACCATCTGGCATCTCGGAGGGTGGGGGGGTCACCTTCAACACTATCTATGGTGGGGATGGTGTGCTGCTGACCTCAACTTGAGACGTTGTGGGTTGGTGGGTGGAATACTCCAAAGACCTCCTCAATCCTACCAACACGTCTTCCCATGAGGAAGCAGAGCCTGAGGATCCTGGGTTGGACTCTCCAGTCTCTGGTGCTGAGGTCACCAAGGTGGTTAAAAAGCTCCTCAGTGGCAGGGCGCCGAGGGTGGATGAGATTTGCCTGGAGTTCCTTAAGGCTCTGGATGTTGTGGGGTTGCGTTGGTTGACGCGACTCTACAATATTTCATGGACATCGGGGGCAGTTCCCCTGGATTGGCAGACTGGGGTGGTGGTCCCCCTATTTAACCCTATTTAAAAAGGGGGACCGCAGAGTGTGTTCCAAATATAGGGGGATCACACTTCTGAGCCTCCCTGGTAATGTCTATTCAGGGTTCCTGGAGAGGAGGGTCCGTCAGATAGTCAAATCTCA